CAGGCTCAAAGAAACAGGTCCCATGGTTTCCCTTATTTTCAATATCTAGTTTATGTCTGAGTCAAGCAGAAAGGGTCAGATAAGTTGATGTTAGGGAAATGAATCCTAAAATAAGTATTCAAATGTTTTTTTTCTTTCATGTGATTGTTTCTAACACATTTATAACATTATTTCTTTGTTGCTTTGTATGTCCCTCACCTACAGTATAACCCCTGCTTTCACTGTATTTGATGGCAGTATAATTTGTGGAGAGGAAGTGGAAAAACAAATCGTTTAACTAGGGATACAGGTGGACCCATTGCAACGATGAGATGTACAAGTCGTTATGTCGAAAAGGAACTTTACAACTTTGGAACTTTACAACTTTGGTGCATGGGACAGGGAGAATAGGGTGAGGGGAGGGAGAAGATGGGATGCGAAGGGGAAACAAAGGAGGAGGCTACAATGCTTGATAAGAAATGTTTTCAATATGACTGGGAAGGTGGTTCAGTGGTAGAGCTCTTGCCTTGCATGCATGAGGTCCTGGGTTCGATCCACAGCACCACATAAGCAAAAAGAAAAAAAGCCGGAAGTGGTACTGTGGCTCAGGTGGTAGAGCGCTAGCCTTGAGCTGAAGAACTGAGGGACAGTGCCCAGGCCCAGAGTTCAGGCCCACTACTGGACCCCCCCCCCAAAAAAAGATATGAACTCATTATCTTGACCATGTAATTGTACAGTATTTTCACAATAAAAAAAAGAAAAACATGTTGTTCATTCATTCACCAAGTCTAAAAACACATATAAATCCCTTTCTATCTTACAAGATCAGGAAAAAGTAATAGAATCTGGTAATGAAGATCTTCAATTTCATTCATGATTCTCATACAAACAAAGTCTGCACAATATAAGCTCTGTAAGGTTTGACTCACCAGTGACTTCCCTTGGGTTCTGCTTTCCCTGGGACCAGTCTCCCTTGCACACCTGCTCATTTTGGTGTCTGCTGCCTCTGCCATGATGTAACTGTCCTCACATCACTCCTGGAGCTGTGATCCCCAGTGTCATCCTCAACTGCAAATGAGTCACTGAAAAGCCAGTTTCTGTTTAGAGAGTGAAGCCTGCCTCTGAGTATGGTATCTGGTGTTTTTCTGGACCGATGCTAAGAAGCCAGATGCACTAAGAAGCAAGAGCTCACTATGGAATGTTTAGTTCTATGTTCAGGGAGTGACAGTTTTAATATGCATTTTCTCTTTATCATTCTTTGATTCTATTGGATGGTCCAATGTGTTGAATTTGGGGCCTACGTGCTGTCCCAGAGGCTTTTTGTGATCAAAGTAAATGTCCGACAATATGATCAGCACAATATCATTTTCAGCTTTTTCTCAGTGAAAATAAGAGTAAGGTGGTCATCTTAGATCTAAGATGGAGAGGCTGAGGCCTGGAGAAGCTGATAGGAAAGGCACACATGGATGGAATCTAAGGAAAAGTTCAACCTACAGGGCAGGGACTATGAGAAGAAAGTGATACCTTCATTATGTCTATTGTTCCTCTGGTGTGTGTGTGTGTGTGTGTGTGTGTGTGTGTGTGTGTGTGTGTGTG